AAGGTGATGATCATGCTATCGGTATGGAAGGACTAATAATCAGGGAGAGAATCCTTGGATCTGACAATCCAGCAATTCTGTATGAAATCAGATACCGGGGAACTGTTTTAGCTCGCTCTAAGCAGTACGAGCTTTGTTTTGGTTTGTGGAAACTAGCGATGGAGAAAGCCACGAACAACGACGTTTCAATAATAGGAGATCTTGAATCCTACACATCTGTATTTGGAAAAATGGTACAAAAAAGAATACTCTTAAGACCAAACTTCATTGAAGACGCATTTGAAATACTAGTTGCTGTAAGTGAGAAACGGACAGAAAAATTACAAGAGGGGCATGGAAACGAGGAGCTAAAAGACACGCTTTATTATGCTCTCTATCTTTTGATGATATACACTAAAGCTAAAGTTCAAAATGCCAACATGACTGACTTTCTTCAAAGACTCCTGCGTTTAAACCTTAGTTGCAGTGATGGAAATACTCTGCTGCACCTAGCTGCGTGGCACGAAACTCCAATTAAAGAAGACAATGTGCGAAGTGTGTGCAAGCTTCCCTGTGTTGAGACCATGAAGCTTATTTTACGTGCAGGGGGTGATGTAAATGCCGTTAACACCGAGGGAAACACACCTCTCCATCTAGCTGTGAAGTTTAAACCTGCTGAGCCTGAAGGAGTCGAGATTTTAAGAGAAATGCTGCTGTTGTTGTTAGATATCGGTGCAGATCCAAAGCTGGCAAACAAAAATGGTCAAACACCACTGAACAGCTGTGAAACTGACGAGGCTCGTAGGATTCTGTCCAAGAAAGGAAGACTGAGTGCCATGAACGTCGACGTCGGAAAGGTAAGAAAGTTTTAAATGTTTTAAATATGTTTAAAAAACATACTTTGATTCCCTAAAATCATTATAGTAACCTTTGTTACGAAACGAGAGAGTGCTTACTTCCGTGTCCTATGTTGTGTTTATCATATTACGTCACGCTAATGTATGCCCGTCTCTATCTGAATTCCTGGAACAGGTTAACAAAATCGTCTCTTTTAGAATGCAACAATTTCTCGCAACACAGCTGTTTTAGCCAAAAAAGGATGTTTTTGAAAATGGCATGTACAGGCGGCAGGCTCTCAGAGGAAGCTACGGTGTTATGAATTATTCGATCTATGTTTGCAAAAACGGAATTCAAAGTATCTCAGATAGAAAGTTTGAAGGACAAATTAAACCGAGAGGCGTCACGGCATTAATATCGATTGACGACCATTCGAAGTAACTCGCAAAACAATAAGTGCACTCACACATTTCTGTGAATCTCTTTCGTCGTAGGGCTGTTTAGCAACTGCATTTGGCCTCAGTCAAGAAATTGTCTTTATGTGTTCAAACGACTTGTTTCTCCTCGTCACACGACCAGCTGTAATTGAATTTTCACGTGGACGACTAGTTAGGAAAATACCGTAAAATCCCGGAAAATGAGCCCCTCCAAGTATAAGCGCCCTAAACTCGTAACGTAAAAAACCCCTCGTTAAATCGCCCCTCCAAAAATAAGCCCCCCCGGGGCTTGTACTTGGAAGTTGCCCTCAAATACAAAGTAAAACAAAGCAAAAACGGTAAATTTATTTCCAAGTATAAGGCTAGCCCGATTGATTTTGAAACGCAAATTTCCCTCCGTAGATAAGCCCTCCGAATATAAGCCCCTCCAAAAAGAAGCCCATCAAAAAGGGCCTTTGAAAAATATAAGCCCCAGGGCCTATTTTCGGAATTTTACGGTATACCGGCATAGGGTTTAAAAGGAGATAGCATTTTTCTGTCACATGAAAGTCACTCTCTAGCGTGTTTAAGGAGCACTTCCTATACCTTGAAAAGCTTGAAAGCTCATCAGTAATAGTATTTAGAAAATTGTATTAATTTCAAAGCTGCCGTTGCCAGGTTAAAGGGAGGGGGAAAGGCCATTTTACTACTTCCCTCTTCCATTTTTTCCCTCGCCGTCTCCTCGCCATGTTTTACCCCCTAGTTTTCACCAAATAGAGTGCCTGTTTACAGGCTACATACGTGGCGTTTTCGTTACGGATCCATGATAGATCGTGGTTTTGAATACAAGAAAGTTTAGATAGTTTAGAGATATAGTCCATTAATCGTACAGTAATAGCTTTGGTATCCTCTGAGTGAACATGTCTTTTCCATTTCCACAAAGGCTGGAAAAATCGAAAGTGGAAATGGTGAGAGAAAAGGAGGACGGGAATTTGTTCCCGGAAAAGGAAAAGACCTAAATGAAAACACCCAGAAGAAGACTGAAACAAAGGAAACATCAGGTAAGAAAATCTAACCAAGGGAGCAATTTGTTGAGGCGAATAATTGTACCCAGGGAATCATTGAACTCCGCTGATGAACCGGTAGGTGCCATTTAAGGTGATAAAACTTGGAGAGGGTTTTTTTTACCAAAACGAAGGGATTGGATGCCAGTGACCCGATGTGGCGGCTCTCCTTATCGTTCATGGAGGGCGGGGGCAAAAAATTGATGTATTTGGTCTGTTCTCCTTCTCATAGTTAGACGTAATATATATGAACCAAAAAATGAAACAAAAAAAGAACCAGCAAAAGAAATGTAATTTGTGTTTGTAAATAGAAGAAAAATAAGGCCAGCCATGAGTGTAACCAAGAGAAGAACAAGACAGGAGCTAGACTGAATAACCTATACATGGAGGTAAAAAAATTAAGAATTCAAGCAACACACCAGGTACATTATTATCTAAAGATCAGATACCTTGGGACTAAAATTAAAATGAATTAATTTATATTGAGAGAAATTCCACTCTAGAATGAGGCAACTATAGAAGATTCAGTCTCTAAGTTTGATCCTCTCGAGATATTACACTAAGCGTGGGACTAAAGGGAATTGTCTGTTTTTAGTGTGAGACAAAAAGCCGAAAATGGCGTCCTTCTGTCTTTACTTCTTTAAGGACAATTGAGGGAGTTGAGACAGCAGTTGGAAAATGTCCAAGAGCAACTAAGACAGAGAGACGGACAACTGAGGGAAGCGACACAACAACTGACAAATGTTCAAGGGCAACTACAGGAGAGAGATGGAGAATTGAGGCAGATGACACAACAGTTGACAAATGTTCAAGGGCAACTACAGGAGAGAGATGGAGAATTAAGGCAGATGACACAACAACTGACAAATGTTCAAGGGCGATTAGAGGGAGAATTGAGGCAGCTGACACAACAGTTGACAAATGTTCAAGGGCAACTACAGGAGAGAGATGGAGAATTGAGGCAGATGACACAACAGTTGACAAATGTTCAAGGGCAACTGGGAGAGTTGACGCAACAGTTGACAAATGCTCAAAGACAGCTACAAGAAAAAGATGAAGAAAATACCACCATGGGGGAACAACTGAGGGAAAAAGAACAAGAAGTGAATGAACTGGAAATATCTCTTTCAACAGCTCAACAAGCGTTAAGTGAACGTCCACGCCAACAGTCACCTGATTGGGTCATTTCACGTGATCAAATTCAGCTGACAGAGAAATGCATTGGTAAAGGAGGCTGGGGAAGTGTTGTTGAAGGCAAATATTGTGGCTGCTCTGTTGCCGTGAAACAGATTTACGAGGTGCTTCTGAACCTTTCCTCTCATAACAGAGATATGTTTGAGCGGGAAATGAGCATTGCTTCAAAATGCCGCCATCCTTGTTTGCTGCAATTCATCGGAGCAACAAACGATGATGGAAGTCCTTTGTTCGTGACAGAGCTCATGGAAACGAGTTTGCGAAAATTGCTGGAGCAGCGATCTCTCTCTACAGCTGAAGTGGCCGTTATTTCTCTTGATGTGGCTCGTGCATTGAATTACCTGCACCAAAAGAAACCACGCCCCATCATCCACCGCGATATCAGCAGCGCCAATGTGTTGCTATGGCGACAAGCGGACCAATGGCGAGGTAAAGTGTCGGATTATGGTGCTGCTAATTTCATGCAGCAATCTTTGTCAGTTTGTCCAGGTGCTGCAGTATACAGTGCTCCTGAAGCACTTACTAAAAATCAGACTGTGAAGGTATGTCGTCTGCTAAACTTAATCTCCAAACAAAGAGCCTGTTCACAGGCTAATTTAGAATATTAAATCCCTGCGAGATACCGGAGGAGAAAGAACTAACGGCTAAAAAATGCATTTTATGGCTGTGAAAAAGTAGAGAAAACGTTGCGGTTTTGTGATTTGGGGATACTTATTTCTGTCAAAAAGGTATATAAAAGAAAAAGGGGTTGGACCTCTGTGGGATTATCCCTTAATTTTCTCCTTTAGTAACCACGCCCGACTGATATATCGTCCTCTGATGTATTGTGTGATAAGTCTGTGACCTTTGGCCTTGATCGTCTAATCATCTAGAATCATTAAATAATACGTCCTTGAACATTGTCATTGGCCTCCACTCTTCGTCTCGCCTGCGATAATCGCACTACCTCTGGGGGAAGTCGCCGGTACGAAACTTTGCTGAGTAACGCCCATCACCCCCACCCCCCCTCTTGGTAGACAGTCTAGACCAAAAGACCGAATATGTGAGTATTTGGGTAAACAGTGAAAGATTTTAGTGGTCAAGTTCCGTCGTCGAGTGCTGGGTGGAATAAAGAATGGTATATAAAAGATTTATTTGTGGTTTTACAATAACCTGAGTCCTCTTTAGGAATAAGACCTATGCCCTAGGATTAGTAACTTAAAAGTGTTTTGTGTGTACAAAGGAGTCAAATAATACATAAGGTGATAAGTATTGATATGGAACTGAAATGTACATATATTTTTAATTGTTATCGTCTATTTTTCGTCTTCAGGTTGATGTATACAGTTTTGGTGTTCTCATCTGCGAGATTTGCATCGGGAAACTACCAAATCCTGACAGGCGTGCCGAGCAAGTCGCCATGGTGAAAAACAAAGTGCTAAGAGCTCTCATTCGTAGATGTTTACAAGACAATCCTCACGACAGACCAAGTATGGAAGACGTCATTGGTGAACTAGAAAAACTATTTTAAGAAGGGCTTGATAGGATCTGTTCTATAGGTTTTTAGTTACTGGTTTTTAACAGTAATACAGAGGGAGGGAACTTCTGAAGAGATAGGAGGATGCACCCCCGCCATCACCACTACCACACACCAGTCATGACACGTACGGGTGACAAGTAAAACGTGACTAGCGTGGGATACAAGAACCGAGGTATATTCTGCGTTGTCATTCTCACGCTACACGTAGTATATTCGGTGAAACAAACTCCGTTTTATCTTTTGCGTCATTTTTTTTTGTAGTAAATTCAGCACGTCAGATTTGAAGAGTATGCTCATGTGTTACACGTTATGGTTCAATTTTTTCTTTGGCTTAATCATGGGTAGGAAGTCCTAGCTGCGAGTTCCTATAATTTCTAATTTCTGCCTTTTTCTCGTTATAAAATTTCCCATCTAACTCAATCTAACCGTTACAGTTCAGTGCCTAACCCAATCACTGAAGAGCAGTGTTATTTGTAATGATCAGCGGTATTTTGTATGAGTGTTAGCGTGCGCATGACCACCTGGGTCAGCCATGTTGGAATAAAAAACTTGGATCCTGTTTACTAAGCTGTTTTATCCAGATCCATCGTGCTATCAGATAAAGAACATTACATGGTGTCGGAAGTAAAGTACGAACAAGAACCTCAGCCATCGATATGGCGATGATTTGAATAAAATACAGGCCGTATTTCAGAGCAATCCACATCGGCGATCGTAATTCATGTCACAGGATCAGTCGATTCCTATCACGCCCGCGGGGGAAGAAAACACTGCAGAAGTACAGCATTTACAAGTTGAAGACGAAGAAAACACAGAGGAAATACAGCAACCAGTTGAAGACGAAGAAAATACACCTGAAATGGCGATGCATTTAGGTCTTCCACCTCCAGAAGCTCTCGACTTGAGTGGAGGAAACATATCAGCCAATTGGAAGAAGTTCAAACAGAAATATACAAATTACGAAATTGCGACCGGAATAAGTTCGAAGGATAGTGCAACCAGAGTAGCAACACTTCTAACAGTTATTGGCAACGATGCTATTGATGTTTTTAACACTCTAACTTGGGACGAAGAAGGCGATGACAAAAAAATCGAAAAGGTGCTGTTGAAATTTGAGGAACACTGTGAACCCAAGAAAAATGTCAGCTACGAGAGATACAAATTCTTCTCAAGAGCCCAAGAAAGCGGCGAAAGCATCGACCAGTACGTAACAATATTAAGAAAGCTTTGTGAAACATGTGAATTTGGAACATTGAAGAACTCTCTCATCAAGGACCGAATTGTACTTGGTGTAAACAACACAAAAACAAGAGAAAGATTACTCAGGGTGCCAGACCTTACACTTCAGAAAGCATTAGATGTGGTACGATCTGCAGAAGCTACGGATATGCAAATGAAAGAACTGGACGACTCATCAGTGCATGGAATTGGAAGGGAGAAGAACAAGTCAACTGACAAGAAAACACCTTCAGATAATGAGGAAAAAAGACCCCCAAGCAAGAAGTTCAATTGCGGGAACTGTGGAACAAGACATGGCGCAAGGGAGTGTCCTGCATATGGCAAAACATGTAACTATTGTCAGAGACGAAATCACTTCCAGAGTGTATGCAGATCACGGAAAAAAGTCCATGAACTGTGTGTAGAGCAACAAGAAGGAAATGTTCCTGACTCAACCCTATTTGTAGGAGCTGTCACTACTGAAGTTCAGATCCAGAATGAGGAGTGCTATGTGATGTTGCCAGTGAAAGGACATATCACAAAACTCAAAATTGACACGGGCTCTCAAGTTAACATCATGCCGTTTAAAGACCTAAAGAAGATAGTTGGGAGCAATCCACAGATAAATGCCTACACACATAATCTAGTCAGTTACTCTGAAGATAAGCTAACTGTACTTGGCACAGCTACACTACCAGTGAAATCTAAAACAGATGTAGAACATGAGCTGACATTCCACATAGTGGAGACAAATCAACCAGGATTATTGGGGCTCACAGCATCCCAAGATCTGGGTCTAATCAAAGTAGTTATGGTGGCCAAGACAGAAGAAAAGCAAACTGAACCAGACAAAAGTGAAGAGGTTACGAAGTTGTCTGAAGAACTGAAAGAAGAAGTACTGCAGAAATACACGCAGGTATTCACTGGGTTGGGACGCTTGGAGAAACCTTACCACATTGAAGTAGACCCTACTGTGACACCTGTCGTAAACCCACCTAGAACGGTCCCAGCAGCTCTTCGCGACAGAGTGAAAGAAGAACTGGATGACATGGAAAGGAGAGGAGTTGTTCGCAAGGTAGAAGAACCCACAGATTGGGTCAATTCTATGGCCATTGTTGAAAAGCCTAATGGTAGTCTGCGGATTTGTTTAGATCCAAGGCACCTCAATAAAGCAATAAAGCGGGAACACTTTCAGCTTCCCACCATCGAAGACATCACTACACGCATGGCAAATGCAAAATGGTTCACTAAGCTTGATGCAAACCGAGGATACTGGCAGATACCTCTTGATGAAGAAAGTCAACTTCTAACCACCTTCAACACACCTTTCGGGCGGTACTGCTATCAGGTCACTCCATTCGGAATCACATCTGCTCAGGAAGTTTTCCAAAAGCGGATGAGTCAACATTTTGGCGACTTGGAAGGAGTTGAAACCGACATCGATGACATAATAGTGCATGCAGAAACAGAAGTTAAACACGACCATCGTGTACACGCTGTCCTGGAACGATGTGAGAAGATCAACCTAACACTGAACAAAGAAAAGTGCGTCTTTAAAGTCAAAGAAGTCACCTACATTGGTCACAAACTCACACAAGAAGGAATCAAACCTGATGATGAAAAGGTGCGTGCCATCAATGACATGCCTGCACCAACTGACAAGAAAGGAGTAGAAAGACTCCTTGGAACAGTCAATTACTTGGGCAAGTTCATCCCAAATCTGGCAACTGTCACTGAACCTATCAGAGTTCTACTACGAAAGGACATTGAGTTTCAGTGGGCACATGAACAAGAAAAAGCACTTCATGAAATTAAAAGCATCCTAACTAAAGATGGAGGGCCAGTCCTGAAATTCTTTGATGTACAAAAGCCTGTTACGATCAGCTGTGATGCCTCCCCAACCGGCCTAGGAGGGGTGCTGCTACAAGAAGAACGTCCTGTTGCCTATGCTTCAAGATCCCTCACTGACGCAGAATCAAGATACGCTCAAATTGAGAAGGAACTCTTAGCTGTTCAGTTCAGCTTAGAACGTTTCCACCAATACATCTATGGAAAGAAAGTTACCATTGAGTCAGATCACAAGCCACTTGAGGCCATTGTTAAAAAGGCACTAGCATCAGCACCACCAAGACTACAAAGAATCCTGCTTAGAATGCAGAAGTATGACTACACTTTGGAATACAAGCCAGGAAAGGAGTTAGTGCTTCCGGATATGCTCTCTAGAGCACCACTGCCTGAAACAGCATATGGCAGCATGGAAGAAGAAATTGCACTACATGTCCATTTGCTAACTTCTAACCTACCAGTCTCGAAGCCCAAACTAGAAGAAATTAAAGAAGCCACAGCTAATGACCCATCATTGAAAGAACTGAAGGATGCGATCAAGTCAGGATGGCCAGAAACAAAATCTTGCACACCAGCAAGTATTCAAGTCTACTGGAATGTAAGAGATGAGCTCTCTGAAGTCGAGGGTGTTATTCTCAAAAATGACAGAATACTAGTCCCGTCATCTATGAGAAAAGAAATGCTACAAAGGATACATCAAGGCCACATGGGGATCGAAAAGTCCAAACGACGAGCAAGAGATGTCCTATACTGGCCAGGAATGAATTCTCAAATCAGCGACATGATATCGAGGTGCACCACCTGCTTAGAGCATCAACGGCAAAACACGAAAGAGCCAATGATCCCTTCTCGCTTACCGCACAAGCCCTGGGAAATGGTCGCCACAGACTTGTTCAACTGGGACAAATCTGAATACCTGATAGTTGTTGACTATCACTCCAGATATTTTGAAATAGCCAAACTACCAGACACCAAAAGCACCACAGTCATCACCTACACTAAATCTATATTTGCCAGACATGGAATACCATCCGAAGTAATCAGTGACAATGGTCCCCAGTACTCCTCAAAGGACTTTTCACTGTTTGCTAAACAGTGGGAATTCAAACACACTACTGTCAGTCCACTGTACCCCCAAGCAAATGGTCTTGTTGAGAAAGAAGTACAAACAGTGAAAAATCTACTAACCAAAGCAAAACAAGATCGCAGGGATCCTTATTTGGGACTACTTGAGTACAGGAACACACCAATAGATGATATTGGTTCACCAGCGCAACTGCTTATGAGCCGGCGATTAAGATCAATCATTCCCACTACCAACGCACAGTTGCAGCCTAAAGTCCTTAATCCACACAAAGTTATGGAGAAACTGAGGCTCAAACAGGAAAAACAAAAGCACTATTTTGATCAGCATGCCAAACATCTTCCCACATTAGAGAAAGGTGACCGGATCAGAGTACAAATGGGGAGCCATTGGAAACCAGGCGTTGTAACAGAACACGCAGAAACACCAAGATCCTATAGGATTCGAACTGATGAAGGTAGAGAATATCGCAGAAATAGAAGAGCATTAATAAAATCACCAGAAAGTGGTCTATCAGCAACAGACATCTCACCTCATCATAAGTCTCCAACCGTGAGAGCAAATGAGCATTCAACCTCAGAGGAAGCAGCCAATCAAGCAATCCCATCTGTTGAAGAGCCCATTTCGACATCCCAAGAGCAAGGGGAAATGTATTCATCCGAGGAGGAAATCTCAGAGCCTCTCAAGACAGCAAGTGGAAGAACTGTGAGAAGGCCTTTGCGTTTCAAGGATTATGTTATGTGACACTGAACTCATCATTGATATGGAAGGTTGATAAACATTGTTTCGAAGGTTCTGTTAGTCACAGTTTGCAAATTTCTCACAAGTTGAAATTAGAGGAAAC